TGAAGGGTGCTCATAAGATAGAGAACATCGGCATTTTTAGAATGCTAAATTATACACAACAGTATATGTACTATCCAGTTTCCTGAAGATTTATTGCCAAAGAATAAACATGAAAACAATGTTGCCATACATGGTAAACATCTCTTTATATATGCCCGTTTTGTACACTGAGAATGACTGCATGAAAAGAATTCAGAGGGGAAGAGTATCCTGTAAATGACTAATATCGGGGTAGCTGTAAGTCTGCATAAGATACTGGGAGACAACTAGAAAACCAGAGCATTTTACAAAACCACAGAAGTGAAAGGGGCACCTATCGCTGCTCGTGAAACGGAATGATTCCCTTCCTGTATAACTACGACAAAAATGTTCAAGAATGAAACTGCATTGCACTAAACAGTTACACTGGGACAACTTGAAATGACAACTGCCTACTGAAAACACAAAGCCCAAGCTGGCACTAACTTTTTTTCTAAGATTAATAACTCAATATGAAGTTCTTTTAATTCGAGAAGCTTCTTCAACCCTTGTCCTTGCACCATATCTTAACTTTGCATCCTAACTTACTTTGGGTTAACCCTACATTTTTACAAACTAAAATATGTCAAAGAGTGTCCTATAGGTTCAGCTGGGAGTAAATCAAGTTACCACTATAGAAAACAGAATCCGTGATTTAAAAAAAAAAAATGTAACAACAAAACAGAAGAGTCTTCAGCTGATAAAACTAAGGTCTGTAAAAACAGCGTGAAGGGGGAAGGTAGGAAGAGAAGCCATAATGGCCACAATCAGAAGGGCATGAGTGGACTGAAGAGATGGCTCAGAGGTTAAGAGTATTGACTGCTCTTCCAGAGGTCCTGAGTTCAATTCCCAGCAACCACATGGTGGCTCACAACCATCTATAAGTGAGATCTGATGCCTTCTTCTAACATTGTATACACAATAAATGAATGTTGTTTAAAAAAAAAAGAAGGGCATGAGTGAAGTAAGAAATTGCTGCTGGCCAAGAACAGGTCCCTCACATGGGTGTGGACAGATCTCACACCCATTCCCACGCCCAGTCCCAGGTTACCAGTGCGGAAGTATCCTCTCTATTATGGAGAAATAAGCAAAGTAAGCACCACATGGAAATACGTTCTGATGAGGGTGTCGTTGACACTTGGGTCTGAGTAGACACTTGGCCCAATGGGGATAATTATTCTACATTACACGTCCAGCATATGTCCAGCTCTTTCTCATATAATTATACCATGTAACAATAAATTGATAAAGGCATTCAATGAAAGATAAAGATGAAGAATGAAGGATGATCTGACCTTGGAATTTAATTTAAAATTCAAAACACTTTTCTTATATTGTAGAGCAGTAGATATAGCAAACTTAGCAATTAAAATACAAAACCCATGCAATAATTGGCTACTTGTCTCTATTAAAATATGTGAATACTAACAAGTTTTTAAAATCAAAAACAATATAAATTCCCTAGATCAATTCATTAAATTATTTCCATAATGCTAATACATTAGTGATAGTCCAATATGTACCCTTTAGAAGAACGTGCCTTTAAAACTTCAAACCATTGTATCAACTCACTTTTTAAAGCAAAAAGGAAGACAAATATAACAGATGTAACATTTTCTCATAAAACATTAACTTTCAATAATATGGCAACAAATTCTAGGAGTTTTTAAAATATCATAACTTTTAAGAAACTGAGTCTATTGGCTTTAGACCCCTTAAGTTCACTCTGCTTACAAAAAGTTACACCTAGAACATTAATTGTGATTTCTCCTCCTCTCTTGTCCCTTCCTCCTCTCTTCCTTCTCTCTGTCATTTATAATAATAAGGTACTCAAGAAAATTGTCTGCAGAAATGGTAGGAAGAGTAAAAAACACACAGTGTTAAAGAAATCAAGGACATTGTTTATTGGCCACATTTCCCAAGCCTTTCCTTCTTGTTGAACATAAACCAATAACAGCCAACATGGCCAGGTACAGCTCCAAAGTATCAAAAACAGTTCACCCCTTCCAGTCGTCTTATAGAGGAAGAAACAAGCCCACTTTTCAATCCTAGGATGCAAAAGCATAATTCTACATGTTTCAATAGTTTTAGATAGCACTGTGCCCTTTTACACAGACTGTTTTAAACAAAAGCATCTCATTGACTGATTTCTCAATACATCTTCCAAACCCACAAGCAGATGGACTAAGCAACATAAAAAGACCATATAAATTCTCTAGATTTTATATGAAAATATGTGTTAGGGTGGCCTCAGGTTCAGTATTGTAGCAATCAACATAACTGGACAACATTTAGATTTCTACTAGCACGGAACAGTACATTTCAAGGGTATTCTTAATTTTGATTCAAAACTCTTCATATAGTTTATTACTAATGTCATCTTTAAAAAACAGAAAGGCTTGATTTCACTAAGATCCTATGGAATAAAGTTCATCTCAGGTAGATCTAGGCTAAACTAAGGTCTCTGACCTATAATAAATGATGTTCCAAAAACCCCATTGGATTTTGATCAAAGTGACAACGGTTATTAAAAGGAAGAAAAAAGCAAGAGCATGCCTTATTTGAGGGAACTTCCCAACCATGTTACTGAATAATGAGGAAAAAATTATCATACAGTTGTGAATTATTACAATAGTGAAGGCTTACAGTGTAATAAACTCAAATATAAAGTCTACTTTAACTGTAAATACTAAAGCTATAATTTTGCTTAGGGTAAACACAATCACTTTGCTATCAGTTACAACTACATAATCATTCAATAAATATTAAGCTTATGGGAAGAGCTCCATTGAACCAGTTTCTTTTTTAAGTATTATTTAAACTGAGCTCTAACAAGCTAAGGAAAACCCCATATCTATAACACTGAGTCTATTCTGACTATAAATGATGACACCAACTGCCTGGTTTATTAATTCACATGTCTACAATGTCATCTTAATTTTACTATATCAAAATATTACTGGAAAAGTACTACTAAGTAGATAGTATTGCAAAGAGTATTTACTCAAAACCAGGCAAATTTTTGCTCTCCAATAGAATGCAATATAAATTACAAACACCATAGCCAGGAAAAGGAAAACGCAAATGCTGTATATGAATCTGATAGCCCACCTTTTTTCTTGACTGGCATTCTTGGGTCTCTCCACTGGACTCGAGATCTCTTTGCAAGGCTCTGCTTGATCCAGCTGAATTGAGGTGGAGCCAGGTTAACTGTTGCAAACCACTTCCAAGTGCTTCAGCCTTGATATCCAGGCTGAGTCTTCTCTATTTCAAATAAAGAAAATAACGATGCATTTTTTCCACAACCAAACACTTTACACTGCCCACGGCGTTCAGAGAAAAAAAAAATAAGTTTTTCAATATTTGTAAAATATGTGTTCTTGTTTTAAAAGTTGAGAAAGTTATTGTATGCATAGAAAATGTTATTAAAACTTCTCTCTTCCGGCAGCAATACTTTTGGATATTCAATGATTAACTCACTTAAGGCACAAACCAATTTTAGGATCGTTGTCTTCATACATGATCGAAATGGTTGGTAATAAAGAGCATCAATTCTAAGGAAAATGTTTAAACTCGCTCCTTCAAAAATACTTTTAAGAACGTCTGACTCTAGTCTTTTAAAGAGTGTGTGAGTTCGAACAGTTTTCTGGGGCAGAACAGAGATGCAAAGGCCCCCTTCTGTTTAATGGTTCCGGATCTCACCCCCTCAGTAAAACAGGATCCAGTTTGTCACTTGGATATTTTTCTTCTGTGCTCTCCAAGTCCCCAGCGCTTGATCCTAAAAGCCCCTCTGATTCTGATCCTCCTGTGTATTAACCGAGGGGATGGAAAAGGAGGAAAGCAATCCCTTGGCGTGGAGACATTAAAGTGACAGCGCTATTCAATGGGCACTTGATGCAGGATGATTTGGCGAAGCCGACTTCTTCACACTGGAGTCATTCACATCCTGCCATCTCTTTGCATCCAAGCAGCTCCCTAGCCGGCAAAGAAAAACACTGAGGCTGCTGGAGAGGAGAAACCAAACCTTACCCCAAAGGTGTTTTCAGAAACGCTGTAGTAGTATTAAGCATGCGATCACACACTATGCAAATAGTCCGCGATATCCTAAATGGGAGTGCAGCTGTTTGGCTTCCACGTCCACCCTTTTCTCAGTCTCTCTCTCCAATCTACCCACCTTCCTTTTGCAGAAAAGACATTTGTCTGCCACCGCTGGCCACCCCTGCCCACACCCCGATCTTATACAGAAGAGCACCGAAATGTCCTGCACCCTCCACGCGATGAAGTGTTTCCTCGGGCAAGAGAAACAGCAGCACTAGAAATTATATAACTCTCGAATTTGGCTTGTCTAAGACATGGAGACTGGAGGGTCGGGGGTTGCTGGTCTGGGAGATGCTGCTGGGCATTTCACGTGCGCGGAAGCGCGCCTGGCCTCCTCGCAGCACCCTCCACCCCTGAAAGTCTGGCCGACCCGGGCTTTTCTGGGGAAGAGGCGGGAGAGGGGATTTCTAACTGGACCCTTTCCGAGCGGGGCTGGAGGGGGGACTGTGAGGGGGACTGAAGACCGGGACTAGCAGGCTAGTCCGCGCTGCTCTGGCCGCGTCGGGGAGGCGGCTGGGAGGCTCTAGGGAGGACCCCGAGAAGCCACAGCCTTAACACACCGACCAGGCCTGAGGAGCGAGCTGTCAGCGCTCGACTACCCCAGCCGCCCGGGGAAGAAGCCGCGCAGCAACAGGCCTGAGCCCGAACCACCTCAGGTTCCCTTCAGGTTGGCCGAGAGGCGGCCGGGCTGACAAATTGCAGGCGAAGGACGAGCCTGGCGGGCCGGAGGCGGGCCCGCGGGTGCCTGCGCCTTTCTCGGAGCCAATGAGAAGCTGCAGTTTCAGGACGCCACGCCCAATCTCCGCCCATCTGAAAGCGCGACTTTTGGCAGGGTGGGAGCCGGCGCGGCCAGGGGAATGAACAGTCAGTCAGCTTCAAGTCCCGCCCCAGGCGCTCCGGCCACACCCTCCGTCCAGTCACGTGATGCACCAAGATGGCGGCGACGAAGCCGCAAGCTGGGGCCAAATTGAGGGCTGCTGGTGCGGTGCAGAGGGGAGATGGAGAAGCGCCGCAGGTAGGCGGGAAGCTGGGGCGGTGTGGGTCGCCCCTTCGGAGATGGTGCACGGGAAGGATCTGAGCACGTAGAGAGAAACGGCTCCGACTTTATGCAGGGCGTGATCAAGTCTCCAGTGCCTACCCACGTAGTCCTGAAGTCTCCAGGTTCAATGTAGCTTGTTCTTTTTTCTCGAGGACGTTTTACAAGCCTTGTCTTTAATTAGGAGTACTTTCTCGCCTAACTCCACATGGCCAGACCTCTACTGCTCTCGTTCTGTTTAAGATTTCTGCCTTTTATTGATTTTGTTTGTCCTGGTTTAGTAACACGGTGTGATGGATTCTTAAAGACATTCACTCTTTTGATTACCTGGGAATCTGATATACATCAGTGCTGGATAAATCATGTGAGAAATATACTTAAGAATACAAGACACTGTAAAATACGCTGCAAGCCATGCACCTACACAAATGCACTTACTAACAGGGAAGGAGATATGATCGGTTGGATGACTTTGAACTTCCTCAACTTTTAGATCAAAAATTGATTGTGGCAAAAATCTTCCATGTCAACGCTTGTTGAAAGCCTTCTTATGGAAACTAGGATGGTGCAGTTACCATGCCTGAAGCCCCGGATTTTATATCAACACTACAAAAAATAAGTAAAAAACCTCTGGGAAAGTTAATAGTCTGTGTCTGCTTTAATTAAGGAGAGGGTAGTGAAAACCTTGCTAACACCAGGCGCCAAAAATATTGGCTGTCACTTTTCATTATTTCAGTATTTACTGTCCTGCAACCATAATTCTGGGTCCCCCTTTCCCCAGAGCTGTTTCAAGGGCTTAGAAATTTTCTGTCGGTGCTGGAGAGGACTGTTCAGTGAATTGTATGAGAGCAGGAAAAAAAAATCCTGTAAGGTTTTTTTATTGCCATGATGTTATTGATGCCTGCCTTCATAGTACACTAGCTGGATTTGGTAGGGAATCCCTGTTAGAAGGAACTATTTCCATTTGGACAGCGGGGAAGAGGGAGAGCAAAAGATTTCAGTCCAGTTCCTTTAAAAAGTTTTAATTTGTAAAGCATTGTGTGCCCTCCATCTTCCTCAGATAGTTTAAGGAAAAAGAACTGACTTGAATACCATTCTGTTTTGAGGCAGCGAAACTGGTCTTTTGATCTATTATAAACTACTTTATGAAGATCGAGGAAACCATGCTTGGTGTGTATTGACTTCCTGGAGTCTGGATCCATTGGTTTTTCATTAATTTGAGGTTTAATATATGCTGTTAAGTGATAAATATTAACATGTAATCTGTAATGAGTCTTTTTATAACTATTTATTGACTAATCCAGAAAATGTAAAACAAAAAGATAAAAAGTACTGACGTTTGAACCAGTAGACCTCTCACTGATGAAATAACCTTTGCAAACAGAAATTTGGACTTGCAAGAAGTGTCCATATTTCCTTGTTAGGATGAAATTAAAAACTCTTAAGCTGCATAGTGCCAGAGTACCAAAGAATTTAACAAATGTTCCCACGAAGACCTAAAAGTCCGACCCATAGCCAGACATCCAGAAAAGATCGTTTTGAAATTTATTTTTTTAGTTTTTCACCAGTTAATTGGCCTAACCCTTGCGTTCTCTCAGTGTTGGTGACTATATGTTTATCACATGGAACACAGGAACTTTACAATCCCTGAGTCCACCGCCATGAACCCAGGCTTCATGGTATACCAGAGCTATTTCTGACAAAGGCCTTGCTTCTCCCACAGGAAACTGAATGTACAACATAAAGTCCAAGATAACCAAGACGCACTGTCTCTGTCCAGGCTAGAACAGTACCCATTTTCGATCTCCTTCTCTATTTGCCAAAGCACTCTGACTCTCTCTTACCACCCCTACCCCAAAATAATCTACAAAATGAGCTCCTCCTTTCATTAGAGAAGACAGGAGATTGCTGTCCACAAGCAAGTACTCTTTCTGCCTCTAGGAGAGGATTAACAAGTAGGTCCTTCTGTCTTTGGGAATGAACAGAGGAAGCTATACTGAAAGAAAAAGATCATCTCAGTGGCCTGACTAAAGCTCAGTTTTCTAATCTGTTGTCTTAGTCACTGTTCTAGTGCTGCAAAGAGACACCATGACCACAGCAACCCTTATAAAGTAAAGCATTTAATCCAGGGCTGGTTTATGGTTTCAAAGGGTTAGTGCATTATCATTTTAGTGGGCCTGCAGCTGAGAGCTTACAGCCTGATCCACCAGCAGCAGGAGGTTGGGGGTAGGGGAGAGAGAGAGAGAGAACCCCTGGGTTCAAAAGCATGGGCTTTTTGAAACCTCAAAGTCCACTTCCAACAAGGCTACACCTCCTAATCTTTCTGAGTCCTCATATACTGCCACTCCGTGGTGAAGAAGCATTCAAATATATGAGCCTATGGGGACCATTCTTACTCAAACCACCACATATGTAAACATAGAAATAATCATTTTCTCAATTTTTGCTTAACTCAAAAAACAAAAGCATTGTCTTAACAGATAAGAGCCCAGTAAATATTGATTGAATCATTTCCTTAAAATGTTGTGAAAGCAGATACCACAATACCCAGAACATTCCTAGACTCTAAATGTTTTTAGCATGAATACAGCTTTAGGAAGTTTTATTTCATGTTAGCGTAGTGAGCTGTTATGACTCTGGAACATCATGTTTTCTAGGATATCAAGATGGCACTTTATACACATGGTCGGCTGATTCCTTCTCTAGGAGATGCAAAACTCACAAGACCAATGATTGCCGAAGTCACGGGGAAGACGCTTGGTTTCAATAAACAGTAAGAGACACACTCATGACCGAGCCACCAGTGTCACCTGCGCGTCCCTTCTATTACCATGGCCTCTGAGGCTTGTTTCAGAAACTGCTTGCTTTTTGCTCCTTCTATTTGTCTTTTCAAATTTTGTTTATGGGTAATGTCACTGTTCAGTCTGGAGCATAGCCCCAGCCCCTGGCATCTATCCCAGCCCCCTGGCCTGGGAGTTGCATTAGCCTGAACTCCAAATCCCAGCATGCCAGGTCCTGACCCCTCCCCCAGGATCATTCCACAGGATGTTTAAGTGGGCTCCCAGAGGAGAAACAAGGGGTTTGCATGTGCTCCTTGCTTTCCTGTCTCCCCACCATGCGCTTGGCCACCCAAGAGCACCGTGTTTAATAAAATGATGGGCATTTTAAAATGGTTTGATCTGATCTAATTGGATTTCATTACGCCGGCGGAGCCACCCGTCTTAGGATTTTTTTCTAACAGTCACTATAACACTTTGCAAAAGTGTTTTTCCTATTGCCTTTCACTATTTCTCTTGCAGTTACTTTGCTCCAATGGCAGCCTGAGTTGCTGTCTTAAACTGTGGTCTAAAAGAGAATCTTCTGGATATTCATATATTTAGGAACACTGGCAACACTGGAGTTCCAAAAGATGCCTTTACAAAAGTTCTGAAAACACACCTGATAAACAATTCATGAAGAAGGAAAAAGCTACTTACTGAGCTGGTTACGAAGGGTGCTTTATTTAGTTATTTACCTTTTAAGAACTGGACAGGAATATCAATGGACTGAAACAACAATGGATTGAAACAGTGGTTTGTTAGACTGGATAATTTTTTTTTGCTTCTTTTTTATATTATTTTTATTTGTGTGTTTGTGTGACTATGCAGTTTATGTGAGCACATGCATGGGGGCGGTGCTAAAAAGAGGCGTTGGATCCCCTTGAACTAGAGTTAGAGGCTACTGTAAGCCCTCAGATGTGGGTTCTGGGAACAAAGCCCATTCTTTTGCTTCTTTTAAACAACAACAAAAAAAAAATACCTAAACTTATTGCTGAAATATTAGTTGTACGGATTTTTTTTAATTAAAAGCAATTGATATGAAACCAGTTTGAAGGATACTTACCTTTTACTGATGAGCAGTTATGATTCAAGTCAGTTTAGAAGGCTGGGAAGGTGACTTAGTGATCAAAGCTCTTTTTGTTTGAGGACTACAGTTTGAATCCCCAGAAAGCCATAGAAATTCAAGGTATACAGCAGTTTCAGGCTTAGAAGACAGAGACAGTCAATCTCCAGAGCAAAATGGCAGGCAAAACTAGTCGTCTTTGAGCATGCCTGAATTAATAAAGAACATTCATGGATGGACAGTCCCTAATATCAACCTCATATTCATGTTTACACACATGCACCCCCTGACACACATTTATGTTTGCACACATGTACCCCCTCCCTGACACACATTTATGTTTGCACACGTGTACACCCTCCCTGACACATATTCATGTTTGCACATGTGTGCCTCTCCCTGACACACATTCATGTTTGCACACTTGTGCCCCTCCCTGACACACATTTATGTTTGCACACGTGTACCCCCTCCCTGACACACATTCATGTTTGTACACGTGTACACCCTCCCTGACACACATTCATGTTTGCACATGTGTGCCCCTCCCTGACACACATTTATGTTTGCACATGTGTGTCCCTTCCTGACACACATTCGTGTTTGCACATGTGTGCCCCTCCCTGACACA